CTTTCGTTACAATGCCTAAAGCAATTTTCAACATTGAACATATTGGTTTTATCAAGTGGTTGAGAAATGCGAGTTTATAAGGATCTTCTAGTGAACCACCGCGAGGAATCAATTCATATTCATGGAAAGCAAAACCCGTAAGGGCGTCTGCCAAATTGATATCCTCCATTCGAAGGAAAATTTCCCTTACAATGATGGCTACTTCGTCGTCCCCCATTTCTGTCAAATAATTGTTACCACACCTAAAATAGGGAAATTGTTTGATGTAATTATTAGAGCTTCCTTTGCTACCACTACTAGAAAAATTATTCATATTCTCTATTTCATATTCACACATAGGAAGCGACAAAATNAGCCTTAAAAGTCTCTTAACTTCTTGTGGGTAGTTTCTCTTAAAGTCTGTTAAAAAATCAAGGTATCGAGTTTGAACTCTTGTAATAAAATACTCTACTTCTCGATTATCTACCTTAAACAACTCTTGAATTAGAATCCGATAATCCACTGTCATCACTCCCCAACCTGGATAAAAATCACGATAATCGTACATTTCTAATTCATCCTCAACGCATTTACACATCGCAAGATACAATGGATGCTGTGAAACTAGATCTCTCGAATATTCATTCATAGCTACTTCATTGTAATTAAATTAATACTTCTCCATTACTTCTCATGTTCTATATCATACCTGAAACATGTTATGCTACAAATTATATGCACCACTAAAATGAGGCATTTTTGGTTGCACAGCAGTTTCTCATTCAGGAAGGTGTTATCGGACTAAATGTCTTGTCTTGTTGATTCATGCTATTCACCAATGACTCAAGCTCTAACTGGCACAGTAATGGGAATAGTTTCAATAGCACAATTTTTACAACATTCATCTATTTGACATTCAAATTTTCAAAACATCGAGTCTTTTCACTAAGGGTTTGCGGAGGTTTTCATTGGCTTCGATGGTGAGCATCGCTTACGGGATTCGAGGCAACTGTTTATTATTGGGGGCAATATTTCTTTTCGACTTGTACGAATTTGGCATCAGAAACCGGGATATCACCGACATCATACTATCATTAGCCAGTGGAGGTCAACTATTCGTGTCAATAATAGCACTTAACTGGTACACATTGCGATACTCTGCTTTGCAAGAGGTGAGAAGAAATCAGTCAAGAATATTCTTCCAATCATGATCGTGGATGGTATTTTATTAGAAGGTGCCATATTCTGGTGGCACGTACAAATATTGACCAGGATCTCGTCGNTTTTGCCACCAATGTACTGGTTTGTGGCAAGCATGTGGGTATCGGACAGTCCGACGCACAAGCGGTATAGTGAGTACACGATGAAGTTTATGATTGGGTGGAACTTAATCCAGACGAGTATGTTTGCGGCCTTCTTACCACCGGCGTGAGC